TTCCTTCAACTGCATATTTGTTGAGCGATAGCTTCTTGGTTGGTTCGTTACCAGCCAGCCAGAGTGACTTCCATGTTGCTTAGTCTTTCTGCCAATCCATCTGAACTTCAGTAACGAGTCAGCTTTGGCAGTTGTTGATGAATGTCTGTAGTTTGTTGAAAATGCTTTACGTGACAAGCCAAGTCATTGAACCATATAGAAGCACTGACTTAACATTAGTGTTGAAAATCTGGAGTGCAGTAGATCTAAACACATTGGTTTCAGGTTAATGAAAGCCTGTCTCGCTTTTCCGATCCTGGTTGTTTTGACGTCCTCGTCTGTGCCACCGCCGCCGCCGCCTGTAGTTGAAAGGATGCTGCCTTGGCTGGGTAGGTGAAAGACAGTACTTCCTTTAAGTTTCTCTCGTTGATGGTGATTGGAGCTTGTTTTTGTTGGTTGGGTATCTTCATCACCTCTGTCTTGTCTACATTCACTTGAAGTCCCTTCTTCGCTGTCCTGCCTCTTCTGTCAACTTGTCAGATTTTACCTGTAGATCTTCGAGTTTGTGTGACAAGACTTTAGACACAAGTCATTGGTGAAATCCATATCTTATAAGATCTTTACCCCGGTCCAGTGTATCCCCCTCTCCTCGCTCTCCCCTGTTTGCTGCAGTCGACCACAATCAGGAATATCATGGGTGATAGGGGGTAGCCTTGTTTTACTCCTTCTTGTCTTCACTTCAAAGGCATCACTGAGTTTTCCACTGTGGATCACTTGGCATATGGCGTCTTCATATAGCTGTTGTATGAGGTTGATAAAGGTTTGTGGTACGTCTTACTCTGTCATAGGTTTATTTGGTATTACATAATTACAATTTTATTTTCATAACACTTGGTTCATTTTCCTACTTTGCCGTACATTCATCCTGTATTGCATAATTGCATTTCATTTCTTAATTCCTTTATCTGTTTTTCCACTCTAAACTCAAATGTATATTAATTAACTTTCTTAAGTTATTCAGTATATATTTTGCTCCCTAACTAGAAACAATTCTGGGATATTCTGCCCATTGTAATATATATTCATGAATGTACAGCTTAATAAATGACTTTATCAAAAAGAAAGATTTTTCATCGCTTCAACCATATCCTATCTTTTCCTATGACCAAAGGATTTACCATAAAACCTTGAAAGGCATAACCATTTTAAAATACTAAAGTTGTATAGTTTACTAATGATGAAGTTACATATGAATGATTTTCTTTTTGTAAGAAATATTGTGTAAAAATGATTTATTCATATTTGTTGAACATTCTTCGACTACAACACTGAACAAAAAAGAGGTTGAGTTTACAAAGAGCATCAGTTTTGTGTAGAGTAGTTGCTCACTAAACTATATTGGTTATATATATCTGTAATCATAAAAAATAAGGAGTGTAGCTTTCTGATTACAAACCTTGAATCTACATTCTACATTCAATATTACATCTGAATACTTTTGTTTTCAGTTTTATTCTTGACTTATTTTTGTTTTTCTCCATTTAATTAAGAAAAATGTATTCTGTACATGTTAGATTGTCCCCTGTATGTCAGTGTGTTATTAACCTATATATTGTGATATCTTTCAATTAGAAGGGATACAATTTATTACATTCTAGTCGAATTGTAATAATATCTGCTTACATATCCGTGTACCTACTGGAATTCACTTGAGATAACTAACATTGGGCACGTACATTATAGAATGAAACAGATTACTTGATAATTTAGGTTAATTCCTGTAAAACACTCAATTATCTTAAGGCAAATGTAACTGAAAAACTGAAGGTGAGCATACTGTAGAGGGAAATAGAAGAGAATAAAGAGAGAATTGGAAGAAAACATTCAATCTTTCTGATGTTCACATGGTAATTACGATTTGCTAGGCCAACATACATATCAATAAATTGTTACTATTCATTTATATACAAAGCGGGTTATTTAGTCACTTCTAGAAACCTCATACATACAGATAGATACAAATCCTATGGGTTTGTGTAGTTAACTGTAATCGCATTCTTGAATTAATGGAGTTTTCTTGTTAAAATCTGGTGTATATTTGTGTAGGCAATTACAAAGAATGCAATTATTTCTGAATGATTATATGACTTATGTATTATTAGTAATTTATGATGCTCAAAAATTCGGTAAAAGTTATCAGCTAACATGTTTATTGGATTAAATAAACCTCAAAAGGTTTCATATTACTAATGTGGTGTTTATTTCTTCCATTGCCTACACGGCATTCATGAAGTACTATTTTTCATACCTTCTTATAATAAAAGATACATTAATCTCCTTGTGTTATCTCATTCACTGCCTTGTGCATCTAATCTCTTCTTTATCATTCTAACTTCTGAGATCTAAATAAGAACCAGATATTGATTTGTGGGTACTTGTGACAATGATATTATTCTCACATATTTAACAATTACTGGTTGTATATCATTAAATTGGTGATTCCTGATCAACAGCTGTTACTTTGATTTGGTGGTTGAGTTTACATACTGCAATGATCCTATAGGCTAACATGTCGGCAGTAAGTGTTCTTTGAGGTCCAACCACTCCAGAAAGGTCTGTTGGCTAGTGGCTAGAAGAAAGATAGATACCGTCACAGTGTAATTAACTTACTCTACGATGAAGGTGAAAGCAGAATCATAATGGCAATTGAAACTAGTATGCCAGCAGCAAGGTTTTTTTCATGGCTAAACAATATGTCATTCTTTCCGTATAGGGAAGATGGTTAGAAACATTTGTCCCAAAAATGACCCATCCCTCCCTACCCTATGGTATTCAGATGTCAATGGTATGTGTTTTTCTTGTCTAGGGGCAATAAAATTCAATTTTAACTCAGAACTCTTAAAAAGTCTCTGTGTGGGCGGCTTCAAGCAAATCAAGAACATGTTTTACTTTGTTTTAAAGAACCAAGCGTCCGGATGCTTCCAGAAATATATTTAGATCATGTGAGTAAGAAATGAAAGCTTGTGGGCAGTCGTAGAGTGAGGTTCAAAAGACTGTAGAGAACATAGTGGAATGGAGGCGTGCTAGTGAAGCCGTATGCTCCATTAGGAACCCAAGGGAAAAATAATAATAATAATAATAATAATACATTGGATGTGGAGATGATGAAGAATATTTTTAGATCAGAAGGATAATAATCTCAGTGGTTTTGTGTTCAGTGAGCTGGATGATCTAATCGTGAAGTTTTCATCGTCTTGCTAGACAATATCTTCATCGTTTTACCCCGGAGTATTCAGTGATGATGTAATGCTTATAGAGAGGTAAAGAATTCGGATCCTAAAGCGTTTCCTGCATTGTAATTTAGTTTTTCTGAAGGAAGAGTTGCTCGGATTTGATCAGAGATTGTTTGCATAAGTTAACAATGCAATCACATGTTTCTCCTTCTGATGTTTGTAGTTTTGAAATATTGGCAAGTTACTCTCAAATGATATTTCTTCTCTCTTCTTTACATCATCTGCTTGATTTTCTAATCCCTATTACCAGTGTTATAAAATATTCTGATGTGAGTATCCTCTGAAGTTTTTTTTTTGACTTTCTATCGTCAGTTGATATTTCTGAGTCATAGATCGAGCATCAGTGTTCATCAGTTGTACCATGTGTCTTCCATTCCTTGCCATCTCATTGAATAGTCGATAGGTGGTTTGTGTATGATACTAGCTGGTAGAACATGCTGGCGTAGAAGCTTGTACGGATAAAATTGCCTAGAAAGATGATTAAAGCTTCACGATTAAACCATTCAGCCCATAGAAGACAACACTATCAAAATTCACTGGATTTCTCATATAAATGAGCTGTCTGATGGATGCTAAGGTGTCAATCTATTCCCATTCAGGTGTCACTCTTTCAAAACGGAAACAGAAAACTAATTTCCTTTCATCGATCATGTTATCTTTTAATTTGTTTTATTGAATACAACTTATTGCATTCATGTCTATTCTTTACAACGTTTAAATTCCTCGCAAAACTCCAATTTCTTTATCAACAACCATCCCGTATCGAATGTATTCAAGTCAGCTTGACAGATGTGAATTTTTTTTGTGATTGCCATTTTTAAGCTACTATGTGCAATTTGTGATGTTACTTCCTGGATATCTACGATGATTTAATTCATTGTACTTTAGAAATTATCACTTCATCGTCTGTAATTAAGGTAGATCACATCAACAAATTAACTTCATATCTACAGTAATATGAAGTACCACTTGGAATACATCGTTCCGCTAACAAAATAGGTAAGAGTAGAGGCATCATCATTGAGATGTCTATTTTCAATGGAATTAAAAGCTTTTAAACATCTTGTTCAGAGACTTGGCGGTAAGTTACGAAAAGCATTTCCAACAAACTACAGACATTCATTAACAGCTTCCTTTCCTCACTCGATACTGAAGATCAGATGGCCAGAATAATAAGGATATACAACAAGGAACTCACTATGATCTGGCAACCAACCAACCAACCAACAACCTATCACCCAAAATACACACAGAAGAAAGTAGAAATGGATTGGATTGGATTGGACTTACACTGAGAATACGGTTCGGGGACTTCACTCGCCATTCCAGATTAGGCCATCGAGTGGAACTCAAATGGGAAACGATGAGTTGTTTGTTTGAGGGTGACATGGAGATCGTGTGAGTAAGAAATGAAAGCTTGTTTGCAGTTGTGGAACCAGGTTGAGAAGACTGTAGAGAAGAGAGTGAGATGGTGACGTGCTACTGAATCCCTATGTTCCACTATGAACCCAAAGGACGAATAATAATCATAATAATAACAAACACCTTGGTGACGTCTTTTAACAGATGCAAAGGCAGTCACTCCAAACTCATCCTACTTCATTTTGTTGAAAAAGAAAGTAATACGGGATTCACTGGATACTTTTTTACTGTGTTCTTTTGTAGGACAGTTATTATAAGATACTTAGACTGTATTTTTCATAGAAATAGACTAATGTATATACTTACTTGCTGGTCAACAAATGTTTGTATATTGATTGCAGACATTTCTACTTGATCAGGAATGATATCAACCTCTGTATCGGGTCTCTCTGTAGTAACAGTAATTGTTAAATCCTGAAAAAAGGAATGTAAAACAATAAAGCTTAGAAATGATATATTCACGTCTACATGAACTAAGTGAATTATAAGATAGTGAGGTATACAATAAGTGAAGTGATGCGACATTGCAGTGGTATGTATTTTTATGTTAGATAGTGTGATTCTGTCAATAAGAAACCCTACTGAACACAGGTTTCCTGATTTTTATTACTAACCAGCAAGGCATATATGCCACTACAAGGAAACTTATGCCACTCACTTAGATATGAACAGTTATATCGGCTACATACTAGTGAACGATTAATTTACATAATCGGGTCCTAAAAGTAGTCAGTTGTCGCCCGAACAGCCTAGTAGTTAGGTCTCTTACTACAACGATGACAGAAATAGGATTGAATCAGAGTGGGAACACTAGTCTCCTCATTTATTTCAGGCATACCTTGTAGATGAAGGCTAAAAAGAACAAAATCTAGGTCGAGTATGGATTCATACTGACTGACCTCTACTATCAAACACGGATCACCTCACTACATATTAAACGCTCCTCATTATCTAGCGTGTTCGTAAGTATGGTATATGCATTTCACCATTAAAGTGTAAAGTAATCTTACAAGATTGGCAACAGCCTATGTCTGCGCTCACCCTCGGTGGTGAGTCGTTGGAAGTAGTCGAGAAGTTTGTGTATCTGCGTAGTTGTGTGAATGCTGGCGAAGGTGTGAATGGTGAAATTTCTAACTGCATATCGAAAGCCACTGGGGCATATGTCATTCTGAACCACCTTTGGCTCCTTCACGACGTTAGTCTGACCGTAAAAGGTCGGGTTTACAACACTGCTGCAAGTAGTTCTGCTCTACGTCTTTGAAACCTAGCCACTCTAAGCTGAGGATGCGCGACAAATCTGTTTGTTCGATCGTCGTTGTTTCCGCAGGATTGTTCATATCCGGTGGCAACAAAATGTGAACAATTCTGAGGTAAGACGTGTGCTCGGACATGATGGAGATCGTCATTCAATAAGTCATGCAACAGCTTCGGTTATCTAGATGTGTGTTATGTTTGTCGTCTCAACGGCTTCCACGCCGTTCATTGTTTGCTAACTCTGGGACTCGATGAGAGAAACGGAGGGGCGGACAGTGTATGACGTAGCTCTGTGAGATGAATGGTGGTTGCGTCACCACGGCTCCTTGGTTGGGATCCGAAAGATCACACAACTCAGTGGCTTGAGACGTTATCAGATATAACTCAGAATCGAAACTGGTCGCCGTCATGCTGTATCTTCCTTCCATCTTCTGGTGCTGAAAAGTAATGGGTGTTTTGCTTTGAATGTATCATACTGGATTGCCCTTCTACCTAATTTATTCATATTGTGTTTGCTTTTTATCTACTTCCCTTCCCTTTTTATATCTTTTTAATGTTGTTATATTTTTTTATGTGGCATATTTTTTGGTCCCCTTACTGTAAAGTACTTGTGTTCCATTAATAATGATAATCACTGACTATCGATGATTAGTTCATTCACTAGGTATCAGGATGATGAATGAACCAACTAAATCTCTGAGAAATACATTATACAAGTGGAAGGATCCATTCCTCAAAAGTAGACAAGACGAATAAAATTCAATTTCGCGGTTTGTCGGGTTATATTTATTGATTTCAGGTTAGTGTTCATCATGCACTGACATCAGCTGGAGAAACACTAGAAACCTGGGAGCACTATACAACAGCTGCTTTGTCTTAGTATGGGACGCCTTAGCAGTGTGTATTCATGAATCTGCTCTGTCAGAGATCGAATTCATAACCTTCATGTTCTATGCCCAACACGTTACCATTGAACCACCAACACAACATATGTGTTAACAAAGTTCTTTCCTGATTTTCATTTTATATTTTCCAATTTTTGTCTACAGTATAAACAGTTCAGTAGCCATAAAATGTATAAAGATAATAAATAAATAGAATATCACAGTGTACAGCAGTCTACAGAGTGCTTTCTGTTTGCAACCAAATTATCTTAGGTTGATCTGTAAAGATTTTGTCACTGATGATATTTTTGCTTCATCGATGAGATACTTCCGTCGAATAAGTTGATTATCATGCTTTATATATGTAGTGATATCCGGAAAGAATTCAGTTAACTGTTTAAAAATGACTGGTTGATACTTGTAGTTTCCTGAATAAATCGACCTCTGTTACCAGTTGAGATCTTATGAGAATGCCTCATTAGTGCTGGATCTTCATGATGTTGTATTCATCTTAATGACTAGCGGTGAAGCCAAAGACGTACATTTCGTCCTATATGATACTCGTCAACTGGATATACCTGCACCTACTATCAACCAAGGCATTGGAGCAGTTGTTGTTTGCTGATACTTGTAATTTCCTGTTTCTACAATGAGTCAACGCGACTTTATTGACTCCCATTTACTATGATTATTATTCGTCCTTTGGGTTCATAGTGGAACATAGGGATTCAGTAGCACGTCACCATCTCACTCTCTTCTCTACAGTCTTCTCAACCTGGTTCCACAACTGCAAACAAGCTTTCATTTCTTACTCACACGATCTCCATGTCACCCTCAAACAAACAACTCATCGTTTCCCATTTGAGTTCCACTCGATGGCCTAATCTGGAATGGCGAGTGAAGTCCCCGAACCGTATTCTCAGTGTAAGTCCAATCCAATCCAATCCATTTCTACTTTCTTCTGTGTGTATTTTGGGTGATAGGTTGTTGGTTGGTTGGTTGGTTGCCAGATCATAGTGAGTTCCTTGTTGTATATCCTTATTATTCTGACCATCTATCTGATGTTAAGTACCAGTATCCAGTGAGCATAGGTGTCAGCAGCTGTTGATGATGTATGTGTGCAGTTGTTTGTTGGGAATGCTTTACGTGACGTGCTGAGTTTCTGAACTATGTAGCAGCAATGACTTGACTGGATTGGTGTTGAAAATCCGGATGTTGTTCACGCTTTATGCTGAGTGCGGTAGATCTTCACATTGATTTCAGGTTGGTAAGGCATGTCTTGCTACTTTTCCGATCCTGGTTTTGACATCTTCGTCTGTACCACCGCCACCTGTAGTTGAGGCGATGCTGCCTTACCTGGGAAGGTGAAAGAAATGACTTCCTTTAGATTTCTCCGTTGGTGGTGATGTGTGATTGTTGTTGATGCTGTTGTTGGTTGCGAATCTTCATCACCGCCGTCTTCTCTACATTCACTTGAAGTCCCTTCTTCGCTACCCTCCCTTTTCTGTCAACTTGTTAGTTTTCGCCTGTAGACCTTCGAGTTTGTGCGACATGACATTAGACACAAATCATCATCATGGGTGATATCCAAGGCTTCCAGGCTCCTTTCGTGTGTCCAGCCAGCGTACGCCCATCTTCTCGCTTCCGGTCAGGAAGATCATGGGTGATAGTAAGCAGCCTTGTCTTACTCCTTCCTGTCTTCACTTCAAAGTTGTCACTCAGCTTTCCATTGTGGATCTTTTGGTACGTGGCGTCTTCATATAGTTTTTGAACGAGGTTGGTAAGGGTTTGTGGCTCCATAATCGTTATGTAGAAGCAGCTGCCTGGCAAATTACTTCTTGATCGACTCTGTCAAAGGCCTTTTCAGAATCGACGAAGTTAAGATAGAGAGCTGACTGCCATTCTATACTCCATTCTATGATGATGCGTAGTGTAGTGTTGCAATTCGATCCGCACATGATTTGTTCCTCTTGAAGCCAGCCTGCTTGGTCGTAATTTTGAATCCAGTGCATCCTTTAGTCGCTCTTTTAATTATCAGAATTCTAAATTATCTGAGCTACCTTTTTTGTTTTAATGTTTGTTGATAATGGCGACTGGCGATAATTCAAATATCCATTTTAATATTAATTTAATAGGATATAATTATCACACAGATGGTGCAAAGTGATAATCTTCTACTTTATCATGAATTATTTGTCATAAAAATGATAAAGATTATATAATACATTTATAAAAACATACATCATATTGTGTTGAAGCAGGTAAGAAATGAGGGCTGTTCTCGACAGTAACAAAAAACCATATTATAGATAGTTTATTCTACCTAAATAAATGTGTTCTGTCTTAATTTCTTACTGCTTAATTGGTGATAACCTTATCTCAGATAAACACTTGCGTGACGTAAAGCTTGTTGGTACTCGTCAGCAAGTCGTGTATGTCATCTCGGCGGAAGTAATGTCTCCTCACTTCCCCCAGAGTTGCAGTCAGTGACGCTATCAGTGAGCTATTCGGTGACATAAGTTTCTTTCCAGTGTCAGATGCTCCGTGATGACAAGTGCCAACAGGACTTACTGACAATTGACCCCAATCACACAACACTTACAACATCCACTTTTAGATTAGGGAGTTGATTGCGACAATAACACTTAGGAAAACTTATGTATCTGAGTAAATAAGACAAAATACTCATTCATGACTTTAATTATTCAGCTAATATACATTGATCATCTTTTATTTGGTAAACAGATAACATTGATTCCCGCAAACACATAAATAAATCCAATGGGATTATGATTATGTGCCCAGAAAGCAAAATCAATCAACCATTATTATAATGATCCATTTAGTTAACATTTCATGGTAAAAATTATTCATGTTCTCAGTGTTCATGTTTATAAAGAGATTAGATCGAACAATTCACTGACAGATTAATAAACTGAAGTATTTAGCATATGTATATCATAGATTTATACTGCTAATAAAGTGGAAAACTGGTTTAATTGTAGTTATCTCACCCGTAGATGAATCAGCATGAAAAAATATCAAGGCTCTGAGAACACTAAACCGCTAACATCCACATCCTGAACTATAAATATTTTCCATCGCTTGATGAGCAATGTATGACTAAAGGAAGCAGAAAGCTTGTAAATCATACACCTAAGAAAGCTGATAAGTCGTTAGTATAGTAGTTTTTATATCATACCATCGTTGGTTGGACCGAATTGATCGGTCTTTGTTGTCATATGGGCTCCTGTGTGGATGCCTCGATATTGCCTATGTTCTAATTATATTAATGATGGATCGTGACTAGCTGTGAAATCCAGGATGCACATTTCGTTTTATTTGGGACTCGTCAGCTGGATGTACCTGCTTCCTAGTGAGTGATGTTGTTCCCACCGGGATTCTGACTCGGGAGCGATCGCTTCAAACGCCACAGGGTTATCCATTACACCATTGAGTCACGATAGGCACTTCTTGTGCTACGGGTATAGTTTTAGTATAGAATAGACCTAAATAAGATCAATAACCTAGATTAAGAAAGCTCCGCTATTTTAATGAATGCATTAAAAAGTACACAACCACACAATAGGATAGGTGGGATAAAGCCACTGTGCTTAAGGCCAATATAATTAGGTGGAGAGAGAGAGAGAGTGATTACTGAATCTTTGTTCATCGAATCAGCCAGCAGTCAACATATGTAATAGAAATGACTCAACACCCACGCATACCAGAGATATGGAAAGTTTTGTTACCAATAAAAACAACTCATATAAAGTGACGTAACTATGGAAATCGAATGTCGAAAGTGGAGTGTGATTACATTGATATGATTATGAGTAAGCAATAATTTATGCTCGAAACGTCATCATGTAAATAATACTAGATCACTCACTGTATGTCATAAATCAAATAAACAAATCTAATATGCAATCTCAGCTAAATGAATAAATCATAAAGTGATTTCATGGTGAAGTGAAATTCCTCGACTCGACTAGCGATCCAGAAATTCAAATCAGAGTTATGAGTCCAAAAAAGGTACATCCAACCTTTATCTTTAATATGGCCATCATAAAGCCTTGACTGCCATAGATTCACTTTGTATTAAATAACTACATAGCTTATTCATTTTCCTATTTTTTCATAGACTTAACCTTCATTACGTAATTACAATCTTATTTTCATAATCCCTTGCCTGTTTTTCCACTGTAAACCCAAATGTGTATTAATTAACTTCCTTTGCTTCCTCAATATGTTTTGCCTTCTCACCAGAAATAATTCTGGGATGTTCTGCTCACTGTAATATATATTCATGAATGTACAGCTTAATAAATGACTTTATCAAAAGAAGGATTTTTCATCGCTTCAACCATATCTTGTCTTATATAAAAGTCTATTGTGCTATGCATAAAAAAAGAATTCTGAATCTAAATTTAGGATTTCATACATTTTATAGGTTTTTTATTATTATTATTATTATTAGTCCCTTGGGTTCCTAGTGGAACATAGGGCTTCACTAGCACGCCTCCAGTGACCTCTGTTCTCTGAGATCTTTTGAACCTCGTCCCACGACAGCCCACAAGCTCTCATTTCCTCCTCGCACTACCTCCTCCATGTCACCCTCACCTCGGACGCCCAACTCGTCGCTTCCCATGGGGATTCCACTCGAGCAACTGGCCTGACACGTGATGTCCTCAGTCGGCCTTCTCAGTGCATGGCCAATCCATCTCCACTTCCTCCTGCATATTTGTTGAGTGATAGGTTGTTGGTTGGTTCGTTGACAGCCAGAGCTCCTTGTTGCTTATTCTTTCTGGCCATCTGATCTTCAGCAGCGAGCGTAAGCAGTTATTGATGAATGTCTGTAGTTTATTGGAAATCCCTTTCGTGACGCGCCAAGTCTCTGAGCCATACAAGAGCACTGACTTGACTGGGTTGGTGTTGAAAATCCGTATCTTGTTCCGCATGCTGAGTGCAGTGCAGAAGATCTCTACACTGGTTTCAGGCTAATGAACGCCTATTTTATAGGTTTGACAAATGTAAACTAAGTCTTTGGTGAAAATAATGTTACTCCTGAGTACTTTTGACTTTGATACTACCAAAATTAACATCCAGATGAAAATGGAACACATCACAGCGTTGATTTTCCATCCAAGAGAGACGTCTTACAAAAAAGGATAAAATATCAGTTTCAGAGATAAGTTTGATTCTAGTGAACAATTCAAGTTGTACTATGAATACAACTGGAGAATCAAAATATCATCCAGTTGACATCAGTAACTAAGATCTCAAAGGTAACTAGTCATCCACTGTTTTCAAAACCATCTTTTGTTTCCATGCTAATTCTTTACTGTAAATAGGTTCAGAAAAGATATCTGCTATGAAACTGTGAATCAGCAGAACAATATGTCCATCATCCTATTCCTGGAATATTCCTTCAAGGATATTGTTGAGACTAAGTATGCTTTTGTAAAGAAGAAGAAAAACTTCTGTGTACTTTATTCGGTTGTTTTTCCTTCAAAGACGGAGAGAAACGCTTTTGAAGTGTAATCATAAAAGTTACCTGCTTTCTTTTCCCCTTCGACTTTGAGTGATGAGAAGGATGATGAATGTTTTCTATCCGATTTCAGCTGAAGAAGCTTTCAAACTGGAATAAAGTGGATATTAGTTTTCTGTTTGATACAAATATCTGGAATAGGTCGAATTCTTTTGAGTCTTCTTGAACACCATATAAACGACACTTTTATCATCTTTGAAAGAAGAATCAGAAACTTAGTGAATGATATTTTCAGTGACATCAACCTTACAGTTGAAGAGGAATAGAACAACAGACTACCATTACTAGTCAGTAGAACCAATACACCAAAATTGGAAGCTTAAGTGTGTAAGAAGTCAGTTTACTCTGATAAAGTCCTTAATTACAGCAGCAATAACCTAACAGTGCATAAAGTTAATCCATACAGACTTTATTCGGAAGAGCGAAAGCACACTAAAGCATATGGAGATCACAGAAGAGCTTTTAGTACTTGCTGGAGATCATTATAAAACTACTGAGACCAACTGTAACTGGTGTAGCTTATGTACCAACAAATTCTCTCAAGGTCATATTATACAGACTGAAGGCCACAACATTCAAAGAACATAAACTGAATATCCTTTTGCGAAATCAACTGCAACAAATGAGATAAATAATACACTGGACAAAGAGGTCGCCCTCTTTTCCTTCTTTTATATGAACATCGGATGACTATTAAACGTCATGATATTTCGCTGCTCATCCCAATGCATGCTAACAGCTGTAGACAGGGGAAACACAGCGAATATTTAAGAACTTCTAGAAGCCTGAAAGGCATATTGAAAGACAAGTAAACAACAACTGTGTAGATACAGACGTAATTCATTAACCACATAACAAATATGATCAGTAACTTTAAGATATCACCTATCTAGGCACCACTGTTTCAACTGCAGGCAGCACAGACGAAGAAGTCAAAACCAGGATCGGAAAGACAACAAGACAGGTGTTCATTAACCTGAAATCAGTGTGGAGATCTTCTGCACTCAGCATAAAGCGTCAACAACATCAGCATTCCCAACACCAACGTCAGTCAAGTCAATGCTTCTATATGGTTCAGAGACTTGGAGCGTTATGAAAAACACTTCCAACAAACTACAGATATTGATCAACAGATGTCACCTACGCTGGCTCGTTACTGAAGAACAGATAGGTGGCCAGAAAGAATAAGCAACAAGAAATTCACTGTGGCTGGTAACGAACCAACCAACAACCCATCGCTCAACAAATATGTACTGGAAGGAAGTGGAGATGGATGGGATTGGGCATGCACTGAGAAGACTATTCGAGGACATCACGCGTCAGGCTAAGCCGTCGAGTGGAACCCAGATGGGAAACGATGAGTTAGGCGTCCCAGTTGAGGGTGACATGAAGATGGTTTGAGGAAGAAATGAGAGCTTGTAAGCAGTCGTGGAGCCAGGTTGAAAAGACTGCAGAGAAGAGAGTGGAATGGAGACGTGCTACTGAATCCCAGTGTTGCATTAGGAACCCAAGGAACAAATAATAATAACTGTAATATAAAAACTCATGTACATAAAGGACCAAAGAAGACTTTCGTTCAAACATCACCTCTTCAAGAAACGCTACTAAAACATTTTTGAAGAGATCATGATGACTCACTCAAGACATTCGTGTCGGACAGAAAATCAATATCCATTCCATTACAGTCCAATTCAGAGACTTCTACAGTTACAGTCAATTAGAAAACCACCATAATCGATCTTATAACTCGAAGTCAACAAAGGAAAAGTAGGAAACTTATACAGTTACACTTCAGTCTTGGTTTTAGTTTTTTTGAATAAAGGACCATAGATGGAAGTAAACAGAAGTTCTTTTTAGTCGTTACACAATCTTTTCAGTTCTAACCAAGTGGAGCTGACGAATATTCTTTAAAGAAGGTAGACATGGTGTTCACCTGATTCTTTGAAGGTGTTGACAGCAATGGCTTAGAACAAAAATATGTAGCATGCTAAAATTAAAAAAAGTCTCAAAATCCTTTTAAATCTACTGAACTAACCTGTACATCTAAAGGGAAATCATTCAATTCCAGTGTTTCCAAGAATACACCTTTAATACGTCTACGTTCCATTAAGTAGACTTCACCATTTTCACTGCTCACAGCCATTAACCATTGAGTTTCTTTTGTTTCACTCAGTATATTGTCTATATATAATAAAGGATTCCAATATTGCTCCAATTCAGTTATACTTAACTCCTAATGCAAAAAAGATACAGTTCAAAGTTAAGCTATAGTCACTCTTGTTAAAATGCAACTGTTGTGCATATATCCATCTATACTGACTAACGTATGATTAAGAGGTTAAATAAATTTGTCTATCCGAGATAATCATGGTCTGTTGGAGTGGTATTAGTGATACAAAATGATAACTGAAGATAAAACAAAATCCTGATTCGCAGCGGGACTCAAACCTGGGGGCTTCGGGTTACAGGTTAGGGGTTCGGTGCTCGACTAATTGAGCTTCTGACTAGGTCTCACCATCAATTTTACCACCAAGAGTTTTACCTGACTGTCACATTTATCCATGATATGCAAATGAGGTTCATTGTGATCACAATGATTCTCGAGTGATCCTATCCAGTAGTTACAGAATCTCGGTAATCTTGCTCAAACTTCCTTCGTAACAGTTCGAATATTTTCATTAACCTTTGTTAAAAAGAGGTTGGGTCTACTTTAAAAGTCGACAATGAAAAATTAGTGCGTTTCAACAATTCGACAGTGCACTGATACTTTTTCTTTCCACTTTCTCTACAGCTAGAAGGTTAATTACTTGAGGAAAGGTTCATGGTTAGTGGTGTTACCATGTTAGTTACTCAGAAGTCAGGCGTAAAACGTTTTAGGGAATAAAAGAAAGTCAGTTGATGAAGTTGCTTACCCCCATCAACTAGAATGGCTGGGATGTATTGTGCATGCCTTGTCACCCTCAAGCTCAGGCCGGAAAAGGCTTAGAGTCAATCAGACTACAAGACAGCATTGGACACTACAGTCTTTGACCTCCGGTGTGAGCCATAGCGGACAATGTAGACTTCTCGATTACGGTCCGTATGACAACGGAAACCATTGACTGAAGACTCTAGGTGACAATACTCAGAATGGATCCCAATGACGTAGATATTTATACAGATCATCTTTATCTTAAGAATCTAACTGAATTTCAGTATCGTCTCACTCGCTTCAGTCCCCTTATCGTGGTCTTCTACAACTTTCGGGGGTTTTCTTTCCCATTTCTATAGCTTTCACCTTAGTACTTCCTTGTTTGATGTGTTAACATGAGGTGTAGCAAACTGAACCATGCTGTGATGTTTTAAGTGATGGATATGTGGTGTGAACCTTAGTTAGAATACCATCACTTACTAGGGCGTAAGTGAATCCGGATGACAAGTTTGAAATAGGACGACGCGCACGTCCTTGATTCTATTGCTAGTTATCATCAAGTAAACGATATTAGATAGCAGCATTTTCGTAGATTAAAGGTGTTTAATTACACATTGTTAAAAATTTTGATTGAAAAGTTTAAAAAGCACGTAAATTACTATACATCTCTGACTTTGACAGTAAAGATAACAACTGTTTTGCGTTCCTGCTGAGATGAGGTCGAGAATAAGCTGAAAAACCATTTAGTGATAGTTAACTACACAAAATATTTAAGGACAGAGCGAAGATGTTTGACATAACTAATGAACATTTACATATATGTCCAAGTGATTTGAACATGTAACAGACGCGCTACTGATTGTAACAACTAAAAAATTGACAGTTATTGCGAATTTATGAACCATTAATCAAGATAACTATAACAAAGGTGAATAATAATTTACTTTTTTACATCAGTCATATTTTCTAAGCTTAATAATGATCACTTACCTCAGCTGTATGTCCATCAAGTCTTGGTTCTCGCCATTTAGCTTGTAGAAATGCATCAGCATAGTAAAATTCTTTTAATGTATCAATTTCACCGATTTTTAAAAATACAACACGTACTTCAACAGCGACCTTATATGAAATAAAACACAAACATAAAAACTATGAACAAAATTATCACAAATATTTGCTTATCATTGGTGATTGTTGATGTCTATAAAGATGATATTTACAAGCTTGTGATATGTATATAGGTCAAGGATAAGAAAAATAGACTAAATTCTAAAAATGGAAGTTGATACTACTTAAATCTTGTTAGTAGTTTCCCTTTCATTCTCTACAAAGGTTTATTAAAAATTCAACTGACTGAACAGATAGTTTGTTGAGAAGAGGAGAAGGAAAACATTTTGATATATGACATACATATGTAACAAGTGAAGTAGTAATAATACTACCAGTGATTTCTAGGGAATAGCCCAACTGTAATGTGTTCCAGACAATCATAATAAATTATGAATACTGTGCGATGATTGTAAGTGAAACAAAAACCTGATTCACAACAGAGATCCAACAAGTGGTCTTTAGATTTATCTGTCTAACGGTCAACCAAATAAACTACGAGAACCAGTTGCTAGTCACTTCGGCAACACAGAGACTGCTGCTTAGAATCCTGATGTCAGCCAAATTTTTATATACGTTACGATAATTACCGAGCTGTAATAAAAACCAGCCTGAGAGACCATGAATAGCTGAGATACTTTGAATCATAATAAAATATTTGATCATCGTTCTAGCTTATGATTATATTTGTGAAAATAATAAATTGTGTTCTATTTTCGCCTAATAAAAATAGTTCTTACAGTCTTGAACCAGTTCTCATCGACTGATACTCCTATTATTCAGTGAAGTAACACGATACTGTAACGAAGGATAGTCATTAATTTTTCTCTCAGTTCGTAGTTAGGTATACTGGGTAGTATTATTTTCCGCTTGGACCATCTGATGATTACAAACACCAAATCTTATGAATTATGGCAGTGCGCAACCATGACCCTGCCCCGCATGAGGTCGGACCCAGGACGATTAAACCATTCAACTCAAAAAATAATAATACCATAAAAATTATCTTCTTGAGCTGCAAATATTCTCCACCATCTCGAGATCCTACAAGTGACAAACTCTTCTTAGCTTTCGGAAATGGGAAAACATCTCCAAGAGGTAGGCCTTCACAAAAGAACAACTATATTTTCTCTATGAGTGCCCCACCCCAACATGTTCCACCAACTAGTATCAGACACAAACTTCAGAGGATACTCACATCAGAATATTTTACAACACTGGTAATAGGGATTAGAAAATCGAGCGGATGACATAAAGAAGAGAGAAGAAATATCATTTGAGAGTAACTTGCCAATATTTCAAAACTACAAACATCAGAAGGAGAAACATGTGATTGCATTGTTAACTTATTCAAACAATCTCTGATCAAATCTGAGCAACTCTTCCTTCAGAAAAACTAAATTACAATGCAGGAAACGCTTTAGGATCCGAATTCTTTACCTCTCTATAAGCATTACATCATGACTGGACATTTGAGGACTAAGCACTGAGACCCAACAAGAAATGCGACAAGTAATCGTACCTCTCGACAGACGGAAGCAACTAACCAGTGAAGAACCTAGAGTTCTGAAGAAATTGAAGAATCAAAAGAACGTCGTCATAACTTTTTATGACAAAGGACGCACCTCAGTAGTCATGGATAGTAACAACTGCATCAAAAAGGTGGGAGACTAACTCACGGACCGAAATGTGTATCAATCAATGGTGAATGAAATCCGATGGACCTGTTCTCCGACTTTTCTATGGTAGACTAAAAGTATACAAATCAAACATCCCAAAGCGACCAATTGTTTTTCTTCTAGGAATCCTGACATGAAGTCTTTCAGAAGAACTCTTCAGAAAACCAAAACATCTGGTAGAATCATGCAATCGTTGTATCAAGCATATTCATGTTGATAATGACACACTGATGGTGTTTTTTAACGTTACAGTTCTATACACTTCAATTAAACCGAAACTGGCCAATGATACGATGACTTTTCTCCTAAATAATGATCCACACCTCTCGAAACAAACACCACTGTAATGTTTAAGTTTGATGGGATTAATTGAATTTTGCCTTACAACGTATTTTCGATTCAACGGTAAACTCTTAAAACAGAAAAAAGGAACATCAATAAGGTTGCTTAGAGGATGAGTAATTGTAGAATTAGTTATGTAAAGCCTGGAGACTGTGGTATTGCCGTTTATTAAACCGAAACTTTGGGTGGGATATTTAGATGACACGTTTGTCATCATTGGAAGAAGTGAACTAGAATAGGCCTACAAATTAATCAACGACATTCTTGACGACATCAAGTTCACAAGTGAAGAGGAATTGAATGTCCGACTTGAATTTTCAGATGTTCTGCTCACTAGAACGGGTTGACGGAAATTGGAAACTGAAGTGAACAGATAGCCAACTCACATGGATCGAATCTTAAACTACAATAGCAACAACTCAACAGAAGACAAAATAAGCTGCATAAAAACATTTTTCAACAGGGCGAAGACACACTGTAATACATCAACTCTGCAGAGAAAAAAAGAAAACTATTTAATGACTGTTTTCCAGAAGAACGGCTATCCACGCAACTTAGTCGAAAGATGTTTGCATTGTTCGTCGTCAATCAAGAAGTCAACCCCGAAAACTAACAACCGGATTGTCCTACCCTACATGAAAAACGATTCCGATATCATGACTAGATTTATGAAGCTTTTAGGAATCACTGTATCTCACAAGGTATGATAGAAAAGATGGACAAACTAAACAATATCTCTAAACTTAACTCCAGAAACTACAAAGAACATCAGATCGGACAAACTGAGCACACTCTCTGTATCCTTCTAAATGAACATCAACTAGTGGTGGAGCTTTACGATACAACTTTGCTCATGTAAATGTACACAGAGAATTATGAACTTGAATCCGACTTGGAAAATGAGAAAATCCTGGATCAAGGCTTTGCAAACAATGCTAGAAGCATAGTATTCATTTCAGTCAGCAAATCAACAGACATCTTGATAGTGACCAAATCTAACAAACAATATGAAACAACAATGAGGTCAGATTTTAAGTCAGCAGGACAACTAGTTGAAGTAAACATAGAGATAATCATAAGACATTGACTTGTACAACCAATCACACACGAGATCATCAAGACAACATATTAAGCCATTTGTAAAGAGAACCAAATAGCTCACTTTCTTCTTAAGTTTGCGCTGATGATGTCTAGAATGATAATGAAAACTTCACTTTTGGACCATCCAGCTCAGAAGAATGAAAGGAAGAATGACAAAATGGTGACATTCGGAATAATGTTAAGATGAGGATAATGTGTGTATACATCTGCACCACTGACATCGATTCTCAGCCATATCACCTAGAGTCAGTTTCCAATGACTGAATTCGCTTTTCCCGTGGACCATAACCGGCTAGTCTGCATGGCTCACACCAACAGCCAACGACTTCCTGCATTGATGCCATGTTTTATTCTAGCCGCCTCGAGCATTTTTCAAGCCTGAACCTACTTCGGTCAACATTGTATGACGAACCAATCGGCGACTAGGCATACGTAACACAGTCAATGAAGGTTCACTACCCTAAAACTCTACGCCTGACTTCTGCGTTACTCACATGGTGACACCACGGAATACGGCCTATGCTACGAAGGCAACGGTGGTCAAACACCTGAAGCCTTCTCATGTCTTCCACCTTCAATGGCCATGTTTCACAGCCATATAGTAGAACATAGAGGACCGCTACGCAGTACATGCGACCCTTAATACACAATCGGATATCACGGTGACGCCACAGGTGGAGTAAGTTGACAAAACTCAACTTGAGGAATCGCCCCTTGAAGTAAGTCATTAATAACACTAGAATAATCCCGATAGGAGGTTTGTAGGGGGTTATTTATTGGTGTCAGGTCGGTATTCATCATGAACTGACATTGGTTGGGGAAACATTGAAAACTTGGGTGCACTGAACGGCACCCTTTTCGTCCTAGTATGAGGTTCCTCAGCAGTTAATAAATAAATCCTTAGGAGCTTCAAAACGTCACTCGGCTTTAATTGTTCCATAAATAAATCACTATTGATTCCAAGAATATCTGCATAATATGCTTAAAAAGCTTCATCAATCTATAGAAATAAGGAGGCTAGGACTTGCTAAGTAGCTGTTCCTTTCAGTTTTCTGAAATATATCCATCGCTACACACTTATATTATGAAGGAAATATATTTTATTTCATAGGATAATTTACACTATTTTGTAGTTCTATTAAGAGTGAATATTTCAGTGCTTCAATTCACCAATCTACCTCCGAAAATAACTTGTGATAACATAATTCTTTAGATATTGCCAGCTAGGGAGTGAAGAATATATTAAACCAGTATATGTGATTACTCGCTATCTTCAGCTAAAATTTTTAACACCAGTTAAAGCCTACACATTTTGTTCGAAAGTGTATTAGATTAAGTGAATAACAGGTCATAGTTTTATGTCACTTCGTGATGACCAGCAGTTAAATAGAGGATGTGACTTTCGTTCAATTTACCACCCACAAACTGGAAGTATCTCCAACCTAGTAGATGATCTTATTCTCACTGATACTCAAACTCTCTACCCATCTCTTCAAATGCCAGAGCTTTATCTACTTGGCCACTGAGGTATAAAAGTCAAATCTTATGAAATGGGCATTAATTGTTGATATTTGTTGTTACTTGAAATTTCACATCGCTATGTTGAGTCGCCTTGGTCGCATTCTGTTGACTTATGGCCTTCTATGAGGACGCCTTAATCCTGCCTGAATATATTCTTTATTATAATTTAATCATTGTACAAGAGGTAGCTTACGCATTTCAGTGGCTAAGTCGATAACACTTTGGCGTTTAGAGCGATAAGTACAGGGTCCGATTCCCGGAGGGAACAGCATTGCTCACTAGAGTGCAAGTATATTGAGCTGACGAGTCCCAAAAAGGACGAAACGTGCTTCCTAGTTTTCTCTGCTAACCACAACTAACTGAACTATA